ACGTGAGAATATCAAAAAAAGAAATACCCAATTTTAACAAATTTTCTTGCAAAGTGTTATGTCCCTTGCTAATAGATGTAGTAGCCAGAAGATTTAACTTTTAAGTTTCTTTATTTGTGGTTATTGATTTCACAAATCCACAATTGGAACATTTAAGGAATAATTTTTAATTTAATCCTATACTGAATTCTCTGACAAATGCTAAATAACCACTTTTTTCTTATTACTTTATTTTTAGATCTGATGATGGCCTAATCCCGAAACCGGTTGTCATTTAACTTTCTAAAATTAAATTACGTGAGATTGATTTTGAGTCATTTTTTTAGCTTTAAGGTACATATTAGTTAGTTACTTTGTATACTATCATATTTTTCTACTCTTTTATACTATTCGATTTCAAAAATGTATACCTGAGGTGTACATTGAATCGTCTGGAAGTTGCATTTCTTGAGCTTTTGTTTACGTTCTTTCTTTCTTTCCCTTTCTGTCTATTTTTTTTTCTCTTCTCACCTTTAAAATTATGGATAGTTTTCATTGAAATTATTTAATATTCATTTAATTATTAAATAGTACCCAACCATAGCGCGCAAACGTATCCTCCAGTCAGTTTTTTTTTATTTCAATTTTTTGACTGCGCGAACTCGCATTCCATTCGCCAAACCACATAAATTTATATTGTTCTAATTTTATAACATATTTTAAGGATAATGCGCTCACCCTAAATAATTTTATTTCAGTAAAGTTCATAGTTGAGAATGATTGAACGGACCAGTGGAAGACTTAACAAAAGCTCGCCAGGTCATATCCATCTCTTAGCTGGATCACTTGGGCCGTCCGCGCTCAACACCTCACCTCCCGCGGCTTACAACATAAACAAATAAAACATAATTACATTGAAGTTTGGCAACCTTCTTCGCATCGAATCATAAAGATCTCCCGCGTAATCTATTATTGTGCTAGCAGTCTCTTTTGGCGGCGATATAAACTAACGAAATATTATTCTATCACAGATAGAACCCTGTAACTTTAATAAATTGTATACTAAATTTGATTCGACAGGTAGAGCCATCTCTAGAGTCAGAAACGAGTGAGGAGGTGGGTCCATATAAACCTTAACTCTGCATGGTAAGAAAGCAATCTGAGAATTTCAATTCCTTTTTCTCAGGTCATCTCGTCTATAATATATTTTTTAAATTTGTTTTTACATTGCCTTGTTATAACGAGTAATTGTTTCTTCAAGGATTTAGGAAGACTGATAACATTTTTTGAGTGAAGCCATTTTGAAATATATTCTCGTTTTCTGATTAAATCTGAACGAAAACTTTTATTATCAGATGTATTAAAATTTTTATTTTAACTACAAATAAGTATTAAAAGATGTAGTATAAATAAAATGTTTACCTCTTCAACCTGTACTGCAAATTAAATTACTGTCCTCCTTTCTACTCTAGACCATAGTAATTAACACATATTTGCAATAGGCTCCTATACTATTTGGAGAGTTAAAGTTTTTATTAATATATTTATTTAAAAATTTTCACTATAACAACTCGAAGCACATTCTAGGGAAAAAATGTTCAGTATATTTCCCATACACGTAGAATGCAGCATGTATAAGTGGAAAAACTCCAAATTAATGTTTATCGAGGAAAATTTTTAAGTGAAGAAAAAAAAATGGTCACGATCAAACATTTTATATTTTAAAAGGTATTTATTTGAAGTATTAATGATATAATGTATAAGAAATATTATGAATTTTCTTGGTGATTCTAATAACTCTTTAACTAACGATCATGAAATTTTAAATCATACAAATATTCTAAATATATTAAAATAACTTTAAATAAATTCTAAATATTATTCATACCTCAAAGTGATCCGAAGTAGATTAAGTGGAAATGAGAAAAACACAAAGTCTCTCAACCACAGGATCTTTAATAGATTTTAATTGTATTATAAATCCTGTAGTTGACAGACTTTGTGTTATTCTCATTTCTGATTAATAAATATACACCGTGTCCCACGTAAGGCGGGCATTACAACTTTATGGAGAATAAATTAATTTGTATTTTCGCCATTTTCTGAGTATACATAATCGAATATGCTCTTTTGAATTAAAATAAAATGAACTCTGTGCAACTTCCGGTTATACCGGAAGTGACCACTAACTTCGTTATTTTAAAGGGAATACCCCATATTTTTTTTTTAATTTTAGATTCAGCATGAAATTCTGTAAACAACGATACCCCATTTGCCTATTCTAGTTATAGCGGATTTGGCGTTATTTAATTTTTTTCTACATTTTTAGTCGCCGGTAGACATTTTCTTAAAGTCGTCTATCTCAGGTACTATATCTATCAGATACTTAAAATTTTAACCAGAGGTAGTAGATGGGATGTACTTCTTGAGAATATTTAGTTATTCATTATTTGTTGTACGGGGTGTTTGCAAATTATTTTTAAAAATGAAATTTTTTAAACATAAAAAACTTTTTTATATTAAACGGAACACCCTATATATTTTTTTAAATTTAGGATTCAGCATGAAATTCTGTAAACAATGATACCATATTTGCCTATTCTAATTATAGCGGATTTGGCGTTATTCATTTTTTTTTTAATTTTTAGTCGTCGCGCCGGTAGGCATTTTCTTAAAGTCGACTGTCTCAGGTACTATTTCTGTTGGATACTTGAAATTTTAGCCAGAAGTAGTAGATGGGATGTACTTTTAAAAACATTTACAGTTTTCTGCAACAAAATATGTCGTTTAAAAAGTTTAAATTTTTTTAATGTTAAGGTACATACTAACTAAAAACAATTTTTATTAAAAGCACATGGTTTAAAAAAATCATTTTATCAAATGTTCAAAATGCCCCCCGTTAGCTTCTAAACATTTTAACAATCTTTTTTCAACATGATTAGTTGTTGCTTTACGAATCATTTCACCATCTAACTCGTTAAAGGCATTCCGAACTCTTTGCTCTAATTCTTCTTTAGTATTAATTTGGGTAGAGTACACTAAATTTTTAATATGACCCCATAAAAAAAATCAACAGGATTTAGATCTGGCGATCTTGCAGGCCAAAGCCAAGGACCATTTGGACCTATCCATCGGTCTTCAAAGAGTGCTGTAATTTCTTGATTTACATAGTATGTTGAATGTGCTGGGGCACCATCCAACTGGTACCAGAAATTATTATTTGGTAGCTGGTTTAAAATGTCGGTAACTACTTCTCTAAGAATTCTAATGTATCTTTCTGAGGTCAGTCTTTTATTATAAATGTAATAAAAAGCTCTTCCAAAACCGATCACTGCAAACACATTAAAACTAAATTCGTACTGAAATTGTGCTTCACGATAAAAATGTGGATTTTCGTTTGCCCAGAAATGACATTGCTTGCGATTCATGATCCCTTTACGTGTAAATTTCGACTCGTCTGACCACAAAATTTTGTTTAAAATCTCGGGATCTTCTTGAATTCGTACCAATAAACATTCGCATAATTCAGTTCGTCTTATTTGATCACCATCTCGCAACTCATGAACTTTTCTTTGTGCATAGGGATGCCATTTATTTACTGCTAAAATTCGTTGTATTGACCCTCGACTAATATTTAAATTATCTTGAGCCATTCTAATGGAGGCGTGAGGATACGCAGTAAAATACCCTAATACGTTAATTAGATTAACTTCTTCATCGTGGACATAATGTTGACGGTTTCTTCCCGGGTTTTGTTTAAAATTATTCAAAAAGTTAGCTTCAATTCTATCAAATTTCTGTCTGTTCATTGGTGGTAAATGAGGGTATCGTTCATTAAACATGCGGCAGGTTCTACTTTTGATTCGATTACATTCTTCATGAATGTAAAATAAATTAAGAATATCTTGGTTGGTATATTCTTCAATATTTTCCATATTTTCCATATTTTCCATATTTTCCATATTTTCCATATTTTCCATATTTTCCATATTTTCCATATTTTCCATATTTTCCATATTTTCCATATTTTCCATATTTTCCATATTTTCCATATTTTCCATATTTTCCATATTTTCCATATTTTCCATATTTTCCATATTTTCCATATTTTCCATATTTTCCATATTTTCCATATTTTCCATATTTTCCATATTTTCCATATTTTCCATATTTTCCATATTTTCCATATTTTGAACGCAAAAAATACACAACTTAAATACATAGAAATATGACAATTCAGTTTGTTGACAGATTGTTGTTTAGCATATTTCCACGGCATACTAAGATAAAAAATTAAAATGTAAAACTATACTATATTATGTAGGTGCATGCGTAAAATTTAAATTTCAATTTTCTTAAAATTGTCGAGAGATAATTATAGGGAATTAATAGTGCAAATGAAGATCAATGAAGAATAATTTTCTGAACAAAATGAAATAAAAATATACAGGATTTTCCATTTAAAATAAAAAATTTTTTCATGTTTAAAATATTTATTTTTTAAAATAATTTCCAAACACACAGTCGAACAAACGATGTACAAGTAAATTTAAAAAAGCAAATGTCTGCCGGCATATAAAAGTTTATAAAAAACTGAATAACGCCAAATACACTATAATTAGAATAGGCGAATGGGGTATCATTGTTTACAGAAGTTCAAGCTGAATCTAAAATTAAAAAAAAATATGGGGTATTCCCTTTAAAATAACGAAGTTAGTGGTCACTTCCGGTATAACCGGAAGTTGCACAGAGTTCATTTTATTTTAATTCAAAAGAGCATATTCGATTATGTATACTCAGAAAATGGCGAAAATACAAATTAATTTATTCTCCATAAAGTTGTAATGCCCGCCTTACGTGGGACACGGTGTATACATTTTGCAATATTAACTAAAAAATAGGCGATATTTTATAAAAAATTGTCTATAATCTTTAATAGTTAATATTTTTAATATTTCTATTCATCTAAAAAGTCAATTTACTCTATAGTGACTCTTATTTAACATACCTGCAATTTTTAGGCTCGCTTAAGCTAGACGATCCTTCATTAGAAGTATTTGGAAACGCTGGTATGAAAGATCAAATAGCAGCTCTGAAGTGGATTCAAAGAAACATCCGAAACTTTGGAGGAGACCCTAATAACGTAACAATTTTTGGGGAAAGTGCTGGCGGAGCCTCAGTGCAGTATCTAGTATTATCACCAGCTGCTAAAGGTCTCTTCCATAAGGCTATCATGCAGAGTGGGGTGGTAATAAATACATGGGCATATGGATATCAATATTTAAAGGATTTAATGGTCGCTGCTGGTAAAGAAAATTTGAGCGAAAAAGAATTGTTAAACTATTTGAGAAGTTTATCACTGGATGAGGTGTATAGAATTCAAGAAAAAATTAATTCGGTATGAAAGTTATAATTTCTTTTATTTTTATTTGTGGAAATATTTTGAGATAATCAGTTATAACTAAAACTGCTTTTTATAGACTTTCCATCAAATCTACTTATTCCAATTTCTTTAGCTGTAGATGTAGTTGTAAACAGATAAATAATGCTTTATTTACATTTTACTCATAGGTACGTTTATCAAATGTTCAAAATAAAAACTACCTCAAACTATCTAAAATTCTAAGTAAAAAAAAAACTACAAACTAAGTCACATAGTGTCAAGGTATTGAAATTGAGATTCATGTGTTGTGATCTATTGAGAGCAGAACCATTTTAGTTTTTGGCCTGGTGTAATAGTCCTCTTTAGCATAAACTTCGGCAGCATCAAATTTGTCGTCTTTACTATAAAAAACTTTGGTAGAGTACGATTTAACTTAGAAAAAGCCACGGGCGTCATCAACTAGTCATCTTCTGCCTCACTTTAAAATATTCCTTCTGCGTTGCTCCAGATCGATATACCAGTGGCGTAGGCTCTTATTTAAATAAGAATTAAACCAGTTTCCCAACAAAAAACATTTATTGGATTAAAAAGTTAAATTTTAATGATTTAAACATTTGTATATTACCTAAATAACTAAACTAAAATAACATTACATATATTTTTCTAGACTTGCAAAACATTCAGTGGGAAGTAAATAAAAATAGCAACACAATTTTGTAATTTAAGATTTTTATTACAATTAAAATAATAGTTATTTACGCAACTAGTGCAAAAAGTGAAACTAGAAGAGTTCGTCCGTTAATGAACTATTATACTCTGTTTTTAAACTAAGAGGAGCGATTTGAATTTAAGTTGGCAATTCTGTAGCCTTCTGATTGGTCAGATTACAGTCAGTTTCACACATTACTTTTTAGCATGAACATCAGCTAATAATTGATATTGTTGACAGTTCTGACATTTTATCCATTACTCATCCATTACTTAGTTTTTTATTTTATTTCGTAAATAATAGTTCTTCAGTAAGCAATTGTATTGAAAATCTACAATTATGGATCCTTCTACACTGATTACTATTAAAGGTAGCAATTCCTGAAAAGCCTTACAAGAAAGAGAAGACACCAGAAGCATGACGAGACTAAATCAATTCTATTAGTTATTTGATTTTTACTTATTATTGAATCTTTATTTATTTGATACCAATTAATACTGCCTGTAATTTCAGCTTTACAAGTAGCCCTCTGCCTAACTAAGTCTTGCATATTTATAATTTGTGACTTTACCCGTAACCTTAACTATTATCTTTGTGTAGATGATTGGGAATTCTTGTATGAGGGGATACTGTGTAAACACAGCCTAATCGATTCGGCTCGAAGGACCATGTTCACAACGGAAGGAATTTTTAAAAATAAACCTATCCAATATTATTTAAATATACCACTTCTTCGTATTTTAGGTTTCTCTATTACTAATTTATTTTTGTTTTGTTACAGCCATTTAAAGGCACATTTTCACCAAAAGCAGAAAATCCAAACCCCACGGCCTTCATAACGAAACATCCATTTGAATATCTAATTTCAGGACAGTACAATAAGGTTCCAATATTAATGGGATATTGCTCAAACGAATTATTATTATTGAAAGCTTTACTACCTGAAGATGAATTGACCGTAACTATTGATCAATTTACCCCTAAACATGTTCTTACCCAAATATTGAACATTCAGGAGGATAGTGAAGTCTTTAAAAAATTAGATGAGAAACTTAAGAGTGCCTATAAAAAATTAGATCAGTTTCAAGTTAGTATTTTTTCATATTTTTAGTAGCATAATTGAAATATTTAGCAAATACACTGCACCGCAAAATTAACCGGACACTAAATGTATTTTAAATAAAATTAAAAAGTATTAGAAAAACTTAAATTCCAATAAATAAACCCTAAAATAAAAAACAAGTTCCAAAATATTGATTAATTTAACAACCAATAAAAATTTACAAAATTTTTGTATTCCGGAGTACACTACGGGTATTTTTCTGATTGAAATTTATTTATTTATTTATAAAATAATTCTAAGATTTGGATATCAAAATCGAGTATTCCCTCCCCGAGCTCGGATAACAGCTCTTATCCTTTTTGGCATATACTGGACCAAAGCAGCTGTTTAGTGTAATGTCAAGTGTTGTGTGTTACGTGTTGTGTGTTACGGAACACACCCCCTTCATATGACAACGACATTGTCATTGTGCCACTTGTCACTTGTCTGTCATAATTATTAAAAGTATGTAACCGAATCTGTGTAACCGAATTATTTAAATAAATCTTTAGTTAAAGTGTCCATCCATATTTATTTAAACTACAAATATAACATATTAAACAGCAGCAATCTCGTTTTGCGGTATTTGTTCCCACTCATTTACCAGTGCCTGTTCTAACGCACAGTCTCAAACTCGCCATAATTTGGTCTAAGTCTTCTTCCTAAGTTGTCCCACAAATGCTCTATAGGATTAAGGTCTGGGCTTCTAGGAGGCCAGGCTAGTATCTCAATACCAACATCTGTAAAGTATTGCATAGTTACCCTGGCTATGTGCGGCCGAGCATTATCTTGCATTAAAAGAAAATTTTCACCTACAAAATGCATATAAGTTACTACGTGTTCTTCCAGACATTCCCTAATGTACCTATCAGCATTAACGCCAGCTTCCCCTAACATAACAAGATCTGTATGTGCTTCCAAAGAAATGCCGCCCTATACCATAGCACCTCCACCATCAAACTGTACTCTAGGAGAGAAACAACATTGGACATAGTGTTCTTCAGGCCTCTTCCATACTCTTTGTCGACCATCAGGCGAGTATCTCGTAAAACGAGACTCATCTGTAAAAAGAACGTTTCGCCAATCTTCCGTATCCCAATCTACATGAGCACGAGAGAATTCTAAGCGTTGTCTTCGATGAGCTGCATCCAGTTAAGGGCCTGTGGCAGGTACATAAGACGATAAATTTTGTTCACTTAGTCACAGTACCGGGTGTCCAGGTCTTCTAGAGCAGTGGTCGCCAACCTGTCGATCGCGAGCTACCGGTAGCTCGCGAAGGCAATTCTGGTAGCTCTCACAACGATTTTAATTTAAAAAATGCAAAAATCAGAGAAGCTTCCGAAAATTCCACAAAAAAATCTTATTGTTATAATATTAAACATAAACAGCGGCAACGTTGCAGTGGGCGATCTGCCGCTGACGCCATCAAGCTAGAATCGGCTAGAACCGACCAGCCGGACCAGCGCGTTAGTGTTCGAGAACGATCAGGATTGCTTTGAACGGGATAAATACGCACGGCGTGGCGACATTGCGCTTAGTTTAAAACTGAACGCGTAACCAACGTCCAGCGGTTGGGTTAGTAGAGAACAACAAAAAATAATATTATAGCAAGCAGTTGTGAGAAGGTAAAGATATACCACTTTCATTCCGAATGGGAAGAACAATACTTTTTTACAGAAGTTAAAGATAAAAATGTGTGTTTGTTATGTAATACTTCGGTCTCCGGAAATATTAAGAGACAATATAAAACTGTACATTCTAATTTTGAAAAATCATTCCCACTACATTCTGCCGCCAGAAAGGAGAAACTGAAACAGTTAAAAAAGCAGTTAATTGGACAACAATCAATATTTTTAGGAACAGTCGACAAAAATAAGGCTGCAACTAAAGCATCGTACCGTGTGTCCCAGATAAATGCACAAAAAAAGAAACCTTATGAAGACGGGGAAATGATAAAACAGGCGTTTTTAGAAGCTGCTGATTCGTTATTTGCCAACTTTATAAATAAAGACGAGATAGTTTCAGCTATAAAATCTATGCAACTTTCTGCTAATACAGTGATCAGACATATAGAAGTAATGAGCAATGATATTTTTTTACAGTTAAGAACTGACTTAGATAACTGTGTTTATTTTTTACTTCAACTTCGTTGACATTGCCCAGATGGTCGTGTTCGTCAGGATGGTTTTTAGTGATTTTACGATTAAAGAAGATCTTTTGAAGTTTGTTTCACTGAAAGCACACACTACTGGACAGGAGTGGTTTTCTCATTTAAAAAATATTATTTCTTCCGAGAAAATTCCAATATCGAAAATGGTAGGCTTGACAACCGATGGCGCTCCAGCTATGGTGGGTTGTGATAAGGGTCTGGTGGCGTTATGTCGTAAAGATGAAAGTTTTCCGCAATTTCTCTGTTACCACTGCATTATCCATCAGCAAGCATTATGTGGAAATTTCCTGAAACTAAACAACGTTATGAAACTGGTGGTAAAAATTGTGAACAAGCTTAGAGCTCAAGCGTTACAAAGAAGATTATTCAAAACCTTGGCCGATGAAGTTGACTGTCAATAAGGGGACCTACTCCTTCACTCTGAAGTCCGATGGTTAAGTAGAGGACAAGTGCTGAAACGTTTTAATGATGTCCTATCTGGCATAGTTCAATTTTTCAAACAACGCGATGAACCGACTCCGGAACTAGAAAATTCAATCTGGCTTAGAGATTTTGCTTTTCTCGTGGACATTAGAGAGAAATTAAACGAACTTAATTTGCAGCTTCAGGGGAGAGACAAAGAACTAGCGGAAATGATTTCTGATATAAAAGCATTTATCAAAAAGCTGGAGTTTTGGGAACAAAACCTAATTAACAGCGATGACAAGCATTTTCCTATTCTTTCAGAAAAAATATCTCAAAATACATTAGAACCCTATGACAGCAAATATCATGTAGAAATAGTTTCTACCCTGAAGAATAACTTCAAAAATCGTTTTAAGTATTTCAACGAAATGGCTTTAGTAGCGCAGTTTGTTGTTTCGCCCTTTATGGAAATTTATATCCAACAGTTTGCAACTTGTGTTATGCAGAACTTTGGCGAAGACATCGCTGCAACAGAAATGGAAGTAATTGAGTTTCAAAATGATTTAGCCTTAAAATCGTTAGTCTCAAGTACCAAATGTATCTGGCCTATTATAAGTAAAGACAAATATTCAGTTCTATGCCGTGTTGCCTTGAAAGTGAAAGCATTATTCAGTTCAACCTATTTGTGTGAATCTTCTTTTTCCAATATGAAGTTTATTAAGAACAAATATCGCAATCGACTTACAGATGAACATTTGGATAATTGTATTCGAATGGCTGTATCAAATTATACTGCAAACATTAAAAAAATTATCGATGAGTCTGAGTGTCAGCCTTCTCATTAAACGTGATTTTTTATTTTTCAATGTTTATGTTCATGATAGTGCGTTACTTTTTTGTTATTATTAACTATTTTTAAATCTTACGTGACATGCCGTTGTGGCTGGATAAAAGTTTGTGTTCATTTTTCAAACACCTTCGTTTGGTAGGTAGGAATGTAGCTATGAACAAGTACGTACTAGTAATATTAGTTATTTTGTTATTAGTTTATTATTAGTACCTATGTATTATGTATTACCAGTTAAATAGTAAAATAAATACATATAATGATAAATTAACTGTGGATTATTTCATTTACGTTGCGTTACGTGGCTTCCGTGTGGGTAGCTCGCTGTTTATTCCAAAATTAACAAAGTAGCTCAACACATTGAGAGGTTGGCGACCACTGTTCTAGAGTAAGAACCAGTTTATCCAAATCTTCGTAAAGCATCAGATATTGTACTTCACGGAACGCCAAGCATTTCTTCGATATAACGAATGGAATGACCATCATCATTATGTAAATCAACAGCTTGCGCTACTTGATCTGGCCTCATTTTAATTTATTCTTGATAAAATCACTTTTCTTTCCCGAAAAAGCAGCCAACCACACCAAAAAGGCATACAATCAATTTAACAAGTATTATTTTGTAATTAAAGCCACAAAAACTAACAAACTTTAAAAAAACGAATGGATAAAGGCAACTTATATTTTGATAAATATATTTAATAACTATACAGGGCAATTCAACAAAACTAAAAGGAAAAAACTTTAAAATTTCACGTGTCCGGTTAATTTTGCGGTGCATTGTATATTACATAGTTTTTTATTAAGCATATTTGTTTATAGCTTATATCAGATGTTAATTTCATAATGGGAATTATCGGATGTGCAATAAACCATGCTAAAACTTCCGACAAAGCTGTATACCTATACAGGCTATCATTAGATTCAGAACGCAATTACTTAAAAAGAGCGGGAAATTTAAAAGATCCAGGTAAAATAGTTTAACTCTATAATACAATCAGTAAATTTAATAAACAATTTTATCTAAATACAAAACTGGAGGCTCATTTTGTTTTTTCATTTTAGGTGTAAGCCATTTAGATGATATTGGATACCTATTTAAAACAACGTTACCTCTTCCTGATAAAGGTAGTCCTGAAGATGGTTATGTAAGGCGATTTGTAAAATTATGGACAAATTTTGCCAGACATGGAAACCCAACACCAGAAGATAATGATTTAGGTGTTATTTGGAAACCTGTTGAAAAAAATGTTACGAACTTTTTAGATATAGATAAAAAATTAATTCCAGGAACGGATCCAGAAAGTGATAGAATCAAAATCTGGAAAGAGGTATATCAGGCGGAGAGTACAACGGCAAAATTTTTATAAAAATGTGTGTATCTGTTTCATTTATTTCAATTATAAAATTTGTATTTTTTTATACCTACATAAAATACTTGAACAAATATTAAAATATAATAATTA